TTGGCAGAAGCTGGGACTAGTGACAGGAGCTCACTCCATTGTGCAGCACTCATTCCTTGAGCTGCCAACCTTCTGATCTTCCGATCATCAGAACTGGCATCTTAACCACTAAGCCATCATCTCCGCACTGCCAAATGTACTAGTTGCCCTCAGGAGCAGTGGAGGACATGGTTACAATACCACTCTTAAAAGGACAGTGGCAACAGGATGCCATGAGGATTCCAGAGCTTTTATACCTTTGGATAATTAAAAGCTCTTTTTTTGCGACTAAGGAGCACTTTATCAAAGGTAGAGAATGCACTTTGGACCATTCGCTGTCATGACAACCATCTACTGTATGTAGTTCAGTGTATATATATTTTCCGCTAACTGGCTTTTATGTATCTCTTTCTCTTTTTTATTTTTATTTTACATTTTGTTGAATGTCAGGAAGGAAATGTCTACTGTGGCTTGAAGACATGTCCCAAATTAACCTGCTCCGCTCCAGTCTCTGTACCTGAATCTTGTTGCCCAGCTTGCAAAGGTAAAGTAAGGAGGAAAGAAAGACTCTTTTCTGCATGCCTTCAATGCCTTGAGCAGCTAGGCATGAAATTCCACAGCAATTGCATGCTGTTGTTTTATTTCAGGCTCAGGAACTAAATTCTGCAATGAGAAGACTATACTGTGCTCACCCTTTGAATTTTGGAGAATAACTTCCTGCCAGGTGGAGTGCAGCATCTATGGAAACAATCCTTGCCTTTAACCTGCACCATTTTGCTTTCCTGGAAAACAGAGGATGAGTTTACACTGAAGAAATAATGCACTTGGATACCTCTTTAACTGCTGTGGCTCCATCAGACAGAATCCTGGGATTTGTAGTTTGGGTGTGACGCCTGCACTCTTTGACAGAGAAGACCTTGCAAAACTACAGATCCTAGGATTCCATGGGATGCACATAAAGTGGGGCTAAATCGCATTATTTCTACAGTGTAGATGCATCCTAAGGGTCACTCTGTCCCAACTGAGGAAATTCTGCAAACTAGAATTTGTAGTGTCTTTTCCTTGTTGTTGTTCTTCCTAAACAATCTTAGGGGGAAAGTGTGTTGCTTTGTCAAAACTCCCTTCTCCCATTCAGTTTTCCTAGTGTGAATCTACTGCAACACCCACAAACTGCAGTTTCAACTGATTAGAAAAATATGTGGGTACAGAATAATACTCTAAATGTTTTCCAACTGGTGCTAAATCCCAGCTTCATACTGGGGAAGGGAAGGTGTTGGATTTTCACCAATAAAACAGCATGGCTATGTATTAACCATCCCCTGCTATAAGTTTCAAACCTTTGCAAATCCCACTATGTATTGACAGACTCTGCACACCTCATGGACTAAAGTGTGCAGACTGGTGCTTCTGTCCATCAGTTTTAACACATCCAGGATAGATTAAGATCCTTCTTGGCTCCAAAGCATCTCCAAACATGTTTTAAACGGCTTCGTTGGAGGGCAAAGGCATTTCATGATGCACGATTTGAGTTGAACTACATTGCATAAGGGGGCTCAGGGGCCACTGAGTCCAACAATATTGAAATAGTTAATAATAATAATTGCAACCACAATATTTATTTCTTACCCACCTGCAATTCGCAGAGAGACAACATCAGTTTAAAAGGCATCAGTTAAAACACACATCAGTTTAAAAGGACCGATAAGATGCGTGCATATTGAAACAACCCGCATTTTAAAAACCATCATTTAAAATTCATATATTTAAAATCACCTGGATAAGCCTGATGGATGAGACTGATCTTCAATGCTGTTTTAAATTCAGACAGTGTATTCAATAGTCAGATCTCTTCTGACAAGTCCAGTAGTAGTAGTAGTAGTAGTAATATTTCAATGCACAGAATCATAGAATCATAGAGTTGGAAGAGATCCCAAGGGCCATCCAGTCCAACCCCCTGCCATGCAGGAACTCCAATCAAAACATACCTGACAGATGACCATCTAACCTTTATTTAAAAACCTCCAAAGAAAGAGACTCCATCACACTCCAAGGGAGCATCTTCCACTGTCTAACAGTTCTTACTGTCAGGAGGTTCTTCCTAATGTTGAGGTGGAATCTCTTTTCCTGTACTTTGCATCTCCATTGCTCCGTGTTTTAATCTCTGGAGCAGCAGAAACCAAGCTTGCTCC